CTGCTTACACCTAACAAGTGCTGAAATGGGACATAACCAGAGGTAGAAAGGTCTCGGAAGCACTTGGGAAGAGGCTTCCCAAGACCTATCCAGTTCTGAACGGAGAGACCTAAGTAGAATTTGTCAGGTCCAATTATTCAATTCGGGTTATTAGTTCGGATATACCCTTTCCATATCATTTGAATCACGAGGCGATACGGACATGTGTCAAACGTTCATGGGGACAAATGGACGATTATGGACGATTATTTATAAAAAAATAGTAATTGCCATGGTTAATGGAAGTGAATTCTAATTCTGAAGTTTTTACTTTCTGATATCTAATTTAAAACATCGCGTCTTTACACTCATTTCAATAGAAATATTTGACTAATGGTGTGTTCACATTACATACACGAGAGTAGGATCATTTACCTTATTTTTCTTTTCTTCAAATCAAGAAAATGCATCAAGGAAATTCTATAGAAAATATCTCAATAGGATGAGTCGTACAGAAAAATCGAATTCTTTTGACTTTTCCTATAGAATATTTTCGGTTGCACGAAGAGAAATATTCAATAAAAAATTACGTATCTTTTTCGTAATTCCGGAGCGAAATGTGGTTGTAGAAATTTTACGGAGCTGTCACGGAATTTTTCCAGAGCGTTCCGTAATTTTTATCTGAATCTCCTGTAAAAAATTACGATACTGTCACTTAAATTTTCTGAGTCGACTCCGTAATCGCTGAGCGAGTTATGAGTTCCGTCATTTTTACTGTACATTTCTCTCCGTGTGAACATTTCAATGGAATCACCCAAAAACCAATAGAAAGTTTAATAGAAATCCAATAGAATTCTAGCAAATTCGCTAGGTTTTTCTATTAAACTTTTTCATTCGTGTTTATATTCAATATTTCTTTTATTATTCACTCAATACCTTGTTTGTGTAGGAATCGATGTTCGCTTCGATACTGTACTCCTGTCCCTCCTTGAACAAATCGGGATTTACAATGTTAGACTGGGATACATGATAGAAAAGTTGGAAAATCTTTTTCTGCTTCAGGAGATAATTCTGATCTGCGGTCAGTTCCGTAAAGTAAAAGTCGTGGTAAGCATTGACTCCCGTAACTATCGCGATAGCTAAAACAATGAATACTTCTTTCAACATGATTTATTAAATATTCTTCTTCGAGTCCGATCAGAGAAACAATTTGCGGCTAAGTGCGAAGTGTATCGCACTCCTGCCCGAAACTAAGTGCCACTCTGATACTGAATGCCATTGACTTTTATAGGATATGATTTCCCCCAATCGATTGACCCCAGGTCACAATTGCGATTCTAATTGGCGGATGCATTCGAGCCGCACAATATAATTTATGCTTTTATTTTTCAACTATCTCGCGAGAGATATTAGTATTCTTTTATGAATTTTTTCATTTGATTTTTTATTGTCTGACGATAGCAATCAATAGTTAACATTTTCACGGGTAGAGAGTGTTTTACCTTTCTAAACTTCGTGAAGTGCGCAGAATGGAAATTAACATCAGTTTGTGGCAACATGAAGCTGATTACTTTTGCAAAAATAAGTTATTATCAATGTTGGGGTAGATTTTTTAATCGCTTTGCAATTTACAATTACGCAGTAGAATAACAGTGGCGTTTATTTGTGGATTATTTATTTTTGTCCGAAAACGGCGCACCGAATCCAGTTGTTGAATACATTTATTTCGGACTTGTGAGAATAAAATGAGGTGGTTCTCTAGGCATAGGTGTGTGGTATCCATTCTATGCCAGGTGCCGATATTTATGGACTAGAAATTGATGTGAAAGAAAATGTTTAATCCTATGAAAACCCGATTGACACCTCAGATTTTTTGTCAAAATCTGTGAATAAAATCAATTTTAAGATCTACAATTTGTACATCAATTCCAAAATTTTAAACTATCCGTTATTATGAACTATTTACGTACAGCAAAAAAAAGAAATTTTATTTCAAGGCTTATGATCTTAAATTAAGACTTTTGGAAGTCTCAAATTGAGATTTTCAAATATTCCAAATTGAGACTTTTCAAAGTATCAACTTGAGTCTATGAAAGTCTCAGATGAAGACCTCCGAAAACATCGAAATCTTCAAAAGTATGAAAAAATTTAAAAGAGAAGCCTAGCGAATTCGCTATACAATTCTATTGGGTTTTTATTAAACTTTCTATTAGTTTTGACCGATTCTATTAAAATCTTCAGTACAAAATATTCTACAGAAAACTAATTGTATTGAGATATTTTCTATAGAATTGTCTCAGTTCAAATTTTCTACGTTTTTTTCATTCGATTCTTCTTTTTTTTTCATTAAGAAAATCAAATAAAAAAACTATAGGGAATTCGAGCGGAAATCTATAGAAAAAAGCTCAATAGAATAAGTTGTATAGAAAAATCAAAGTCTATTAACTATTTCGATAGAATATTTTCTATTGAAATTGCTCAATTCTATTGAAATGTTCAATAAAGTCGGCCAAAAACTAATAGAAAGTTCAATAGAAATCCAATAGAATTGTCAAGCTAATTCGCTAGGTTTGTCTATTAAATTTTTTCGTGTTTTGGCTTAAATTGGGGTCTCAAAATGTCAAATTAAGGCATTTGAAACTCTCACCTTAAAAATTTCAGGTTTCCAATTAAGACGTTTGAAAATCTTATTCCAAGACCTTTGAAATCATTAAATAAGGTATTCTTCGTCTGGGTTTACAATGAATGAAATTAGATGCATTGCTTGGATGAATAATGAGTGTAATGACCAGATAATTTTCTCATTAGCGACTAGACGATAAGAATACCAGCTGCAAGGGTGATATACAATGTTTTAATGTTGTTTTCTGTCGTCTACTACAACACGAAGTCCGAGGACTTTCTACATTATGATATCCAGAGTCGAATAATTGGACCTGACAAGTTCTACTTAGGTCTTTCCATTCAGAACTGGGTAAGTCTTGGGAAGCCTCTTCCCAAGTGCTTCCAAGACCTTTTTACCTCTGGTTATGTCCCATTTCAGCACTCGTTAGGTATAAGCAGGACTTGTATTCAGACTTTCCAAATTCTTGCCGGTCCCCGTAATTCTATGGGCCTATATTAAATCCGGTTTCATATCCCTGCTTACGCATGCGTTATGAAAATAGAAAATGCAATTATTGTTTTTTTTTTAAATCTCGAAAATCGACATTTCACGAGAGGGTGGAGGGGACACGCATGTATGCGGAGGCTTGAAATTTTTACTCAACAAGGGGAGAAGGTTGCAGAATCTATTCTAGCCGCCCTTGTTCCTCCGCTTGCATGCGTTGTCTAAATAAAAAATGAAATTGTTAACAAATCTGACCCTTGTTCCAAGTGAAAAGGAACATTTTTTACTTCGACATTTCTGGCGCCTCCGGGGGTGTCAATACCGGCATGGGTTTCCTGTGGTTTCCCATGCTAGTCCTATGTTCTATAGGCGTCTGAACGCGCTACGGTTGGATAGAGTGCCGAAATGAGAATCGAAAAGAGGACACAAAAGACCGTAAAAAAATACATAAATAAATCAAACGAAATTAGCTGTGTAGAAGTTGAACTTCGAAAAAAGCCCTGAACTTTTTTTAACATTTTAAGCGTTTGCGAGGCAAGCGAATAATAAATAATCAATTTTTCCCGGTAATTATTTGTTTTTAGGCATCTATAATCAATCCTTAACGCATGAGAAATCTCACTCCAATCCGCCGTTGCTTTTAAAACTCATCGTAGTCTCCCCTTAAAGATGAGGGATAATAATCACTCATTCAGCAACAACAAGTTCATGGCCAAAACTTTGACAAGTTTATTTTTATTCTCAATAAAATATACAATATTGGCATCATTCTACATTCATGACTACTGTGAAGACTTAAATTTGCAGTGCATTAATGGGCCCTTACAGGTACATAGTTTGACCGGTCTGGTTTAACTCGTCAATCTGCTTGTGGAAAACGACAACGTCCTTGAAGTGAACATTGGGTAGTCCATGGAACATGTGTCTTACAACGGGTCTGTCCAGTGGGAATCCCATGGGCTTGCCGTCAACGACAGTAGTTCCCCATACTGGCGATTTGATGGTAACAGTTTGATCCTCTTGAACTGGAGTCACGTGGATGAAGAGTTTCAGCGGAAGACCCTCCTTCTTACCCTTGGGCAGGGCCATACGGTCGGGAAAACCAAACAGCTGACCGTTGTACTGGAAGGTCTCTCCAGTCTCAATAGCATTCACCATCTTTTTCCAGTAGACTGTGGTTGATAATTCGTCGGGCATGAAGTAAATGGACTCGGCGCTGCTGCGCTTAATCTTGTTGGGACCAGATTTCACTGGAAATAGAAGATGGGTCGGTAAATTTTTAGGGTGATTGGGCTTTTATACTTTGGCGTAAAGTGAAAATTGCTATAACTTGTCTGATTGTTCACTCATTAAACAATTGGACAGTTGTATTTTTTACACTGAGAGAAAAACGACCAAGTTCTCAAACAAATCTTACTTGTGCCAAGAAAAGAGTTTTTTGAAAATTATGAAATAGTATATTACGCAACAAGTGCGTAATGGGTTTTTTGGCTCGTGGGAAGTTGTAAAACGAGCCGAAGGCGAGTTTTACAATCCCACAAGTCAAAAAACACCATAACGCACGAGTTTCGTATACTATTTTATGTCATAGGGCCCAGAATCCGCGATTCTACCGAGCGAAGCGAGGGTGCCAATCTTGGGCTGACATTGGCCCAACCCTGGCCCGACATTGACAAGGTCACAGTCAAGTCAAGGCAAAGGTCATGTCAAGGTTGAACTTCCCTACTAATCTGAAATTGATAACAAAGAACCGAATATGCCCTTTTTTGTTTTAATTCGATTAATCCATTCGGAAGCAAATTGCTAGTTCATTACCAAAAAGACTATACTCGATTTACACCTGTGCAATGGGCCACTTGTTTCATCTAGGATAGAAAATCCACATTAATTATCAGCTGTTTTGAATTACTTACAATCCACCATGAATTGGTCCACCTCAACAAAGTTGACGTAGTTTTGAACGAAATCAATTGCATGACCGTGGACGTCGTATTTGGGCCCCATGAAGATACGAACAGTACCCTTGACGTCTTTGTCACTGGTAACGCTGATGTGGTAGGTAAAAGGTTTGTGATTCAGGCGAGGCTGACGCACCTTGATGATAGTAGTGTCAGCATCCTTCAGGGATGATACTGGAATACCATTGCTTATGACAGATTCAAATTGTTCAAAGTAAGTGATTAGCTTGTCGACGGCAACGGAGTCGACCTTAACACCGGGGAAGACAAGCTCCTCGTGGGTGTATTTTGGTAGATTCTTCTTGTACTGCATGAAGTAGGTTATGATCTTCTTGTAGATGCGGTAGAAGGCTGGGTCCCTCATGCTCGTGCTAACGTAGTCTAGAGTGCTTGGAACAATGTGGTTCTTGTCTATAGCTTCTGGGGAGAATCCGAGAATTCGTCTGGCAAGATGGTCGACGCTACCGTACAGTTGTGGATTGGTAGAGTCCATGTTTCCTTCGATTATATTACCAAGGAGATTGAGACCTTCTGGGGTGTAGATGTTGACCTGCTTCGGGGGAACGCTGTTGTCCATAATGTAGCCGGTATCAATGGCAGTACGGATGTGAGTTTCTTTTTGCTCAATGTCCTGAAAATTTTGACGTAATGATAGTAGAGGCAAAGGAGTACGATCATCTTATGGAGACCAAGACAATAATACCTTATTTTAAGATTTTAAAGGTCGGGAAATAAGATTTTCAACAATTTTTGTTTGAAGCTTAAAATTTTCAAGTCAAGAGCTTCGAGAGTTTCAATTTGAGACTGTGAGATCCCAATTTGAGACTTTTATAGACTCAAGTTAATACTTTTGAATGCCTCCAGTTAAGACTTTCGAAATTCAACTTGAAAGTTTTCTTTAAATGAAATTTCGAAAGTCTCAACTTGAGACTTTTGGAAGTCTCGATTGGAGACCTCAAAAAGTCTCAACTTGAAACTCAGTATTAAAGCTGTAAAACCGTTCAACTCGATTTAGGCCTCAGCTGAGTTTTTGAGGAATATCTGTGAATAATAAGACAGAAATGCTTGCCAGCTCACAAGGATATTTCGCCATAAAACATCGCGAAGTCTCGACATCTAAAAACATCCGAACAATCTCAATAGGCATCAAGATTATCAAACGAATCTAATTTGGCACACCATCCTCCTGGTTTTTTAGTTGACCAGCTGATCGATTAAAAACATCGTGATTGACTGGGGTACTCCCTACCACCACACCTCCCACCCAGGAGTCAGGGGGATATAAGGACTTCCTTACGACGCACAGTTTCAGGATCGGAGCAACCTAGCCCTGCTGATGCAGACTGAAATGTTTGCGAAACATCGGCAAAAAGCTGAATCTAGAACGGTATTCCTGCGGGAGCCATAACAATGAATAATATCTCCAAATCTAAAGGAGATAACGAAATTTTCGTGAAAACCTTTTCTGTGAAGCGAATTGATGGCTATAAAAAATGTCTTAACAAAAATTTTATTATCTCCTTTAGGTTCCGAGATGTTCATTAAAAACTGGCCAATAGTCAAAAACAACTTGAACCGTTTTACCGCTCCCCTGCTGAACTGTTAAAGTCTCAACTTGAGACTTTTGAAGCCTCAATTTTCAGCATTTGAAAATCTGAACTTGAGATTTTTAAAAGATATTAATTTAAGATCACAACTCTCAAAATAAAACTAGTTTGTTGAGACCTGCGCACTTTATTTTTGAGGGTAGAAAGAAAGTGAAATTTGAAGTCGAAAGGTCCTCTTCAACTGCGCTGTACGACGCACCCCCCCTCACGTTATTCAACTTTGAATTTGACCAATCACAGCGATGCTCCGCCTATTGCGCCAGTGGTTCTCAACTCAATCGCTTCCAAATGAGAAAAATTATCATTTCGAAATTTTCCATTTTAAATCATCATGTCTTCAGTCATGTAGAGAAAATTCCAAAATGACACTTTTTCTCATTTGAAAATCATTGAGCTGAGAACCATTGGCGTGGTGGGCGGAGCAACACTGTGATTGGTCAATTGGAAAGTTGAACGGGGGGGGGGG